CGAGGCAGACAGCCAGGAGCTCCCTTCCAAATATGCTGTAGCGTGATTCGGTAGGTTTTAACTTTCAAGAGATGAAGGCTAAATGTTGGGTCTGACCTGCAAGATGCTGCTGGGAAACTGCGCCGACTGCGACATTGGAAGCATCAACCATTAGCGAGATGGAAGCATCAGGGACTAGGTGCGTCAAGAGGATGGCACCGGCTAGGGCAGCCTGGACCTTGTTGAAAGCAGCGGCGGTGTCTGCCGATAGCTCGTACGAGCCTTCAGGACCAAAAGGACGTTCAAATGGTGTCGGCACAGTTAGGCAGAAACATGCGGTAAAAATTCGCCGGGCCCAAAAATTACTGGAGTTGACGCTTGGAAGGAGGAAGCGGTGAATCACGAATGGCCGCAACCTGGGAAGAGAGTGGATGGATGCCGTGGGTACCAACCAGATGTCTGAGAAACGCAAGGGAGGGAACACCATAGACGCACTTGAGCGGTTTGATGACAGCGTCAAATTGTTCAAGGCGGCCAAACACAGTTGCAAGATGCTCCATGTGATTTTGGTAGTAGAAATGACTACCAAGACGTCGTCGAGGTAGGCGTAGACAAAAGGGAGGCCGCGAAGCACTCTGTCTACAAAACTCTGGAACGTTTAAGAAGCGTTGTGGAGTCCAAACGGCATGCGCAAGAACTCAAATAGGCCAAATGTGTTTGTTACGACCGTCTTCGAAACGTCCTCTGAAGCTGATGGAAGACACGGACCTGATCGATCTTCGAGAAAATAGACTTGGAAAGTATGTCAGTGGCACCGCAATGGTGACATTGTTAAAACCCCTGTAGTTACCACAGGGGCGCCAGTCACCAGTGGCAGCATTTGGGACCAAATGGAGCAGGGAGGCCCATGGGCTTTCAGATTGATGAATGATCCCTATCGGAAGTCCATGCTCGGCCTTGGCAGCAGTAAGTCATATAAATGACGTCTTTCGAAACCTTCTGCTGTACTAATGCATTTCTTAGCTGCTTTGATGCCAATAGGGAGTATAAAGGCGTTTGCTTATAGTTCCCTTAATAAAAGTGACCTGAACCTGACCCATATTCCCTATTCATTTCTAAGCATGTTTTCTATACAATGTGTTTCAATTTATATGGATAAAAATATACAGTTGAGGAACCACACTACTTAATGAGCCCCATTTATCGAGTGCCGCCTTTAAAAATGTCTGCAAATAAGCGCACTCAAATGCCGGCATCCTGATGTGACTGGCATAGTCCGGAATTCCACTGAACAATAATTAGTATTAAGATCCAACTTAAGTAATAATTCCAAATCGAAAATGTTACGTAGCTCTGTTGAACAGCCCTGGTTCTCCATCCCTTTTCACCTTAGAAGACGAACTTTTCTGCTGGAGCTGTAATGATTCAGTTTCGGTTAGACTGGAGGGCGAAGATCGATCTAGAGTTAGACTTGAGGGTAAGTTCGGGATTACGGCTTCTATTAAATTTGTAGGGTTACGTTTAGGCAATTAATGTTATACATGGATTTGTTGCAATCATAATCTAATGATAAGCCGCATGCTGCTCCGAATCACCTCAGTCCACTTTTGACCCTTGTCAAAACCATAATCCTAACGCCAACCGCACCACCTGGTTATCGAACCTAGACTAACCGTTCATCAGATTTGAACTAACAAATCCTAACTACTATAACTATAATAAGTAGCCAAAGAATATGAAAATGTGCTCCTGATAGCAGTCTCTAACACACTGGACCTCACACATTCAAGTAATCACAGATAGTACACGGTACCCATCGTCAGCTGTTTAGAACGCCACAAGAAACGGGAAGCAGGAGTGCTCGCCCCCGTCTGGACGGGTGTTTTGACCACGTGTCCTTTCATTTAAGTGCGTTGCCGTTCCTGAGTACAGGTATTTTGAAACAGTGAAATGAAAGAAAATTAGCTATTTAAATATTTCAGCACACCATTCACATGACTAGGGGATGGACAACCTCATTAAGAATATGATCAGCGAATTTCTTACCCGTTGCAACATGTCGTTGCATGACCATATGAAATTTTAAAAAAAACATAAGAAACACCGGCAACTGAATACAGCTAATAGAAAGAGGGTACTTCGCTAGGCAGTGTAGCGGCCTCTTATTCTAGGCCATGCTTTGCTCACATGCTTGTGGGGCATGACCCGAGTGTCTACCTTTCGTGCCTACCAGTCCGTGCGCGCTAGATGGTCAAACCTCGGACTAAGGCCACGGACTTGTCTGGCCAATTGGCCAACCACTTCCTAAGGCCAAGTCACAAAGGTACCCTAAATGTGATGACTGCTTATTCTCAGACACTCCCGGAGCAGGCGATCTACCGCCTGTTGCAGACCTCCAGACCCGGCGACTATACCGACCGGAATGCGACTCTGGACTTCGGTCCACTCATGGCTGGAGTGCACTCGTCTGGGAGTGACTTACTCATTTCTTATATTCTACTCATTCAAAATTTCATTAAATTATCCATAACACTGTGGCCTTCCACGCCCTATCATATTTACTAGTTCAATACCGTTGGGATACTTTCTATCGTCTATTATCCGGCCGGACCACTTCGTATCCAACAGCAGGATTGATAAGGATTCGGGACTGGGCAAGGATCGCAATCACAAAATGCGCTGGACTGATGTCTAATTATTCATTACTAGACCACTGGACAACGACCATGCTGAGAAGTGATCCAAGCCATCATTCAGAACCCGGATATGTGGCTGCTTTTCAGAAGGATGACCAATAACCATATTATCAGCTTATTTAAAATAGCTATAGTCATTTAGCAACCGCAATCCGTCTGGCCAATCATCTGCAAGAGTGAATAACAAAAGGATCGCCCTCTAGACGCTTGTGCCGATTCCCGCGCTCACACACTTCGGATGCCGCCCCCCTCGGGAGCGGGTGCACGTTCGTCTGACAGTCAAATTCCCCCTCCTATTCTTCAATGCCTCTGTACAAAATCCCCTATGCCTTCCACTTGACATCTCATTTTTTCCTTTCCCATACGGAACCGAGCCTAAAAATCGTAGCTGGCAAGGGTTTTCCCTATAAGTCTCACCCACCGCGATATTGGTGACGGTGACATGAGCTGAACTCGCAACTCCTAGACGTGGCTAAACTCTATCATCATAAAATCTCCCTGCATTTCAACGGAATTTTCTTGTGTAATTTTATGTGACCACGTTATAGAGAATTCAGTCACCGACATCCGGTCTTGAAGCCATATGGAGATCCTCGCCCACTCACAGTCCATCGAGCCCCGGCCATGGTTCCTTCCCAATCCAGCGGAGCAGTACCAGCATCCAGATCTCCTTCTCAAAATCCGATCTTGCAAACTCACGCCTGCCACAGCCGCTCACGCTGTACGTATCTCATTTGCTATATTTAACTTTTCTTCCTCCGCTCCAATCCGGGCCAGATGTGGCAGCACGCATAGGGGCGGCTCCGGTGCCCACTAGCCTCCTGCCTCTGGACTCTGTCTTGACACTAGGCCCAGATGGGGGAATTGAACCGAGTGTGAGGTAGACGCCGTGCAAGCCTAATCTCACTAAAATTCAGCGCAAATTATCGTCCTTGCACCATCTTGCGGTAGACCTCGTTGAAAAACACTGTCGAGCTGTCTGTGTTGCAGGCATAAGCGCGTTTATTCACGACCACAATGGCCCATCAGGCCACATGCGCCTTCATAAAAACC